TTGACACTCCTCAAATCATGTCATTTGTATACATCATCTGCTCAATTAGATTGCAGGAACATAGTCCATGGCATTTATGATTGACACATAATAAATACTTGCTAACCAAGATATATAGTCATTCACTGTGTGCATTTAAGTCACCATGGTATTTGGGGTGAAAACAGATGCACACGGAAGTAATTTGCATGAATATATTCTTTCTTCCACTCCACCCTCTTTAAACAACCGAACTGATGAGCAAGGTCTAGTGTTAGAGTTAGTAATAACTACCCTGAGTGACAACCCCTAAGATCTCCAGGACCCTGCAGCTACCACAAGCTAAAGAAACTCAGTGTTGTTTTTCCACATTGCAGATTCTCCTCATGAACCAGGAAGTCAACACAGCAGAGCTGGATTTTCTGCTTAGATCTCCAGTGCAGACAGGCATCACCAGCCCAGTGGAGTTCCTCTCCCATCAGGCCTGGGGAGGCATCAAGGTCAGTAATGGCCCCTGGAAAAGAATTAAGTTCTCACCTCTCAGAGTTATTCCCTGACATTTGTCAGTGGGGCTGTTTTTTGCAGTTCGAGCGTGGAGCTGTGTTAAAATAGGTGCATCCCTTCCCTGCACCCCCATCGTGAGCTTACTCTTCCTGGGCCTGCAGAGAATGAGCAGATGCCTGCTGGTATATGAGGGCTCTGCCTCCAGGGTGTGTGTGAAAGGACAGAAAGTTTCAGCGAGCCTGAGTCAGCTGAGCTGCCTTCACCTGCCAGGACTTAGGGCTGGAATATGGGCTCCTGATGTGGAGATGTTGCCACAGTATTTCCATGAAACGGACAGATATCGGGACTCTGTTCAGGCATCTCCATGTAAATCTTAACTCAGACTCAAAGCAGTGGCCTCATTCTAGCCTGGAATGCTCAGCAGCTAATAATCACTCATGTTTATTGAGTGCCTCAGAAATGCATTACCTTATTTCATCCTCATGTCTATCTGGGCAATAGGTTTTATTTGGTCCCATATGAGAACAAAGTTTTTTATTTATTTAACATATGAGAAACTGAGGTCCCACAGTTTACAAACAGCAAATCCAGGACACAAATTTTGGTCTGTCTGATGGCAAAGCCCATTTTCATTCCATGTTGTGTAGATTAGTTTAGTTGGAATTCTACGAACGTTGAAAAGATCACAAACTGTAAGGTCCTTGCAGTCGGGACCATGCCTGCATTTGCAGGGCCTGATGCGGTGCCTGGCAGGAAATGCCGAGTGAGTGGACTCCAGCTCCAGAGAGCCCAGGCCCACACTGCATGTGGGCAGCTGTCCAGTCCACACCTGAACGAGCACCATGGCAGGTGCTGGTGCTCTGTGAGCAGCAGCGTCTGTGTGAGATGATTCCTATGTATGATCTTCCATGCTGGATGCACTTTGTAGATGCTCAATAGCACGAAGACGTATGAGTCTAAAGTAGTATAATGGATTGGCTTTTTTTCTCTTTATGTCTTTTACCAAAATTTTTTATTTTGAGGTAATTGTAGATTCACATGTAGTTGTAAGAAATAGTACAGAGATAGCCCTTGCACCCAGTTTCCCCTGGTGGTAACATCTTGCCATATGTGGTACAATAACACATCCAGGAGATTGACACCGATACGGTCAACTAGTCTCACTCTGATTTCACCAGTTTTACATGCACTCGTGTGTGTGGGTGTCTGTGTCTTTGTGTTTAGTTTTATTACATGTTTAGATTTGTGTAATTACAACCCCTATCAAGATACAGGAAGTTTCATCATCACAAAGACCCCTCATATTGGCCTTTTATAACCACAAAACCTCCTCTCTTTCCCAGTTCCTGATACCTGCCAGCCACTAATCTGTTCTCCATTTGCATAATTGTTGTCATCTAAAGGATGTTATATAAATGGAATCACATAGTATATAACCTTTGGGGATTGTCTTGTTCACTCAGCATAATTCCCTTGAGATCCATTCAGGTTGATTTACTTTATAACAAAAGCCCAGAACTTAATCATTTATATGCATTCTGTCCTCCTCAAAAGAGTCATCTTAGGAAATTCTAGGCTAATTCCACTAATGCTACCATTGCGCAAAATAGTTTTCTAACTTCTTTTTCAGAGTCTGTAGCTATTATTTTAATTAACTTTAGAACTGTATTTAAATCAGGGGTTGTCAATTTTTTTCTGTAAAGGACTGCCTAGTAAATATTTAGGCTTTGCAGGCTAGACCATAGCAACTCCTCAACTCTGCCAAAGCCATACACAGTATGTAAATGGATGGATGTGGCTGAGTTCCAATAAAATTTTATTTACAAAAGCAGATGGTGGGCCAGATTGGGCCTGCGAGCTATAGTTTGCCAATCCCTGACCTAAATAATAAAGGTGTAATTTGATATTTATTTTACTTCATTTGTCATTCTTGGCCCAATCTGGTAAATGAGAAAGGGAATAACATATTGGGAAAGAAACAAGGGGGAACTCCATTCGCAACAGCAACCAAAACCACAAAGTTCCAAAACGTCTAAGAATAATTATAATAAATATTGAGATGTGGAAAACCATCAGCCTTCCTAGGCTACATGAAATATGAATGGACACGCTTTAGAGTAGCTTGTTGTTTTTCCACAATGCAGATTCTCCTCATGAACCAAGAAGTCAACGCAGCAGAGTTGGATTTCCCGCTTCAATCTCCAGTGTAGACAGGCACCACCAGCCCAGTGGAGTTCCTGTCCAAAAATATATATATATAATGCATGCCACATATGTAGTTTTAAATTTTCTAGTAGCCACATTAAAAAATCTAAAAAGAAATGAATGAAATTAGTCTTTTTTTTTTTTTTTATCTTTTATCTTTTTCCGTGTCTGGCAACGGATCGCAACCCTCAGTGTTGCCCCCGTACCGGAATCTTTTATCTTTTTCCGTGTCTGGCAACGGATCGCAACCCTCAATGTTGCCCCCGTACCGGACCGGGGACCGGCAACGGGATCGCAACCCTCGGTGTTGCTCCCACGCCTCGCTCAGCCAGTGAGCGGGAACAGGTCTGTATGTGGGATCCAAACCCT